TTTTGCAGGACAATGTCCAGAGAACTTACTGCAAAAGCAAAATGTGATCATATCGGAGCAGCTGGGGACAGCTCTCTTTCCAGCTACAAATGGCCATGGGAAAGTAAATAATGCTGTTGTCCTCCCCAGCTCAACTCACCAGCTGTGCCTTGGCTCATGCTAACATCTGAGAATGGCATGAAGCCTCCAGGCCACAAGTTGGTGGGAACAGTGGGAGAAATAAGAAATTAAAGCCTGGATGTACATGAAAAGAGTGTAGGAAATAGAAACTGAGCAGTGCTGTCTTAAAACTTTAAGAAGTCTGAATGTTCTTGTGAAGGTATTTTTGCTGTTTTCATATGTGTACATGCATGTCTAGTTTGATTTATCATTTGACATTTTTGCAATAAAAGTTTGGCAAAATTAGTTCAAGAAAACAAAGTATATAATAATAAAAATTAATTACTGAATTTTCACATCTGAAGGAAGTTGTTGATGAACTTTACAAGAATTGACACTATGTTTGCTGCTGTTTACAATTTGTTATGGTGATAGAATAATTTCACCAACAATTGAAAATCCTAGACCCAAATCTGCTACAGGAGAATCAGCACATATTTCAAAAGTTAGTTGTATTTAAAGAAGACCACTCGTAATGATGACATTAATTTGCATCTGTGGAAGATGTAATTCACTCTTATTTCTCAGAAAAACCTACCATTACGGTGAAATGTTTTTACCTAAACTAAGAGAAAAAGAGAGAAGAGTCAAATAAAATCTGAAATGAAGGACATATTATAGTGCTACAGAAATAAAAAGGATCATAAGGAACTTCTATGAACAATTATACACCAACAAATTACATAACCTAGAAGAAACTGATTAATTCCTACAAACTGCTAAGATTTAATTATAAAGAAATAAGAACTCTGAACAGTCCTATAATGAATAAGGAGAGTGAATCAGTAATCAAACCTCCCAACAAATAAAATCCCAGGACTAGATGGCTTTACTGGTACAGTCTGCCAAACATTTAAGGAAGTAATGCCAATCACTCTCAAATTTTTCCAGAAAATTGAAAAGAAAGAAACACTTCTAAACTCATTTTTAGAGACCACCAGAATTACCTCAGTACCAAAAATTGACAAAGATAATACAAGAAAAGAAGATAATAGGGCAATATGCTTGTGAAGATAAATGTAAAAACTGTCAACAAAATACTACAAACAGAATTTAATAGCCCATCAAAAGAATCATATCCCACGACCAAGTCTGATCCATCACTGAATGCAAGGATAATTTAACATACGCAAATAAATAAATGTGATACATCACATTACAGAATGAAAAACAAAAATCACATGATCATCTCATTAGATTCAGGAAAAACATTCTACAAAATTTATCATCTTTCATAATAAAAAGGCCCAACACACTAAGCATGGAAGAAAGTACCTCACCATAATAAAGGGCACATATGACAATCCAACAGCTAACATCATACTCAATAACAGAAATATAAAATGTTTTCCTCTAAGATAAAGAAAAAGACAAAGATGCATACTCTTGCCAATTCTAAATATAGTACTAGAATTCCTAGCTAGAGAAACTAGGAGAAAAATTCAAGACATTTCAATGGGAAGGAAAAAGTAAAATTTCAACTTTTACCACTGCTAACATAGAAGAAACAGACACTATTTTTATGATAGAAACTTCAAAAGACAGTAATAATTTCATGCATGCAATAAGTCTAGGACATTATCAAAAAAGGAACACTGAGAGGGGAGAAAAAAAGAACATGGAAGTTTAAAATATGACAGTGAAAAATGAAAAAACTCTATAGAAATGTTGGGAGATAAAGTAAAAAAAAAAAACCTCTCAAAAAGAGAACAAAATGTTAAAAGGATGGAACAAATTTTAAGACCAACAATGAGTATTAAAAGATATAGAAAAGACAAATTAAAAGAAATAGCTGAATAAATGATCTCTCAATCTCTCTCTCTCTATATATATACATATATATATATACATATATATACATATATATGTAGTCCAAATTGAAAGATGTGATTTCCAAATTCAATTGTCTATCTAGTAAATAACTTAACCTACATCAAAGAACATCATCATGAAATTTCATGGCACTGTAGACAAAGAGATGGTTGTACATGATTCTGCAAAAAGAAATGTAAGTTACACACAAAGAAAAAGGAATGAAATTGAACTCCTCAAAAGAAACTCTGGAAGCTGGAGAAAACCCCAGAGGAAAATGTGTCTCAACCTACAATTTTGTGAATATCGCTATTGTTAGGTGACAAGTTAGAAGATATTTGAAACATAAAAAGTTGAAAAAATGTATCCTCCATGCAACCTTTCTTGAGAAGCTACTGGAGTATGTGCTCTACCAAAATGAGGGAATAAACCAAGAAAGAGGAAAACATGGAACCAAAAATTTGGGAATTTACCAAAAGACAGGAATCTCTGCTATTCTAGAATAGCAGAGAAAGGAATCTAAGTGGCAGATGTACAATAGTACATATGGAGTAGGTGGGGGGGAAGGAGTTATGCAATATACAGTGCACCTTTGCATTTGAGCATATTAAGAAGTCATTTGGAAAACTGGGGTCAAATTTGGAAAGAGTTGGTGACAAATACATAAAAACTAGCAAACAAATCTTATTGCTGTAGGCAGAGCAAAAGTTGTGGATGAAACATAACTCAGGGCATAATCTAAGGTATCACATGGCTCAACTAAAATTGCATTTCCAGAGTAACAATGTAACTTCTGAATTCCATTTTAATTAATAATATAAATGTATGTGGAAGAATGAAGGATAAGGGGTGTGTGTGTGTGTGTGTGTGTGTGTGTGTGTGTGTGTGTTTGTGTGCGCATGCGTGCGCATGTGCACACACACTAATCTGGAGTACAGAGAATAAAACAGTGTTAAATTTTCATCTTTCATGGTGAGAAATAGTAATGTACAAAAGTGAAAAAGATCAAAAGGCTTCAGAATAAGTATGCTATTTAGATACATGGAGAAAATTATCAAATGAAATAAAGGATTTGAAAATGGTTTCCACCAAAGAAAGGAGATGAGATCAGAAAGAAAGAAGGAACAGGATTTTGCTTTTGTATTTGTTTTCTAAGATAAATCCAAATGGAAATAGGACAGTTCAAACTATGAGTACACTGCATAAAAGCTAAACTGAAAAAAATGAAATCTGTTGACAAGATCACTAACTGAGATTAAGTGAACTAAGAACAAAGAGAGACTGATTGGGCACCATACTGGACACTAATCTTGGCCTCGTTAGACCAGCACCCTCTACCCAACCATTAGTCAACTAGATCAATCAACATAGAGGCTCAATCTGATGTAGACTTGTATGAGATACAGCAAATCATTCATCATTAAAAGGTAACAGCTTTAACATTTGTAATATCTAGTAACATTAGCCCTTAAAATTTCTTAAGAGTAGCAACCTGTGTGTTTCATTTCTATATCCTGAGTGCCTGACATATAATATATAATCAAAAGTATGGGAATATGTGCATGTTTTACTTATTTTAAAAATCTTCAAAGGTAAATCAGAAAGGAAGTTACAAAATATTTATAAACAAATGACAACAAAAGTATGCACATCAAATTTTAAAGATAACAGATGACATGGTACACTTAGAAATAAATGAAATACTTATTTCTTTTTTTAAATAAATGTGAAAATCTATTTGATAGGTATTCAATTCAGTAAATAAAAAAAGAGATAAAACTAAAGAGAAGATAAAAAATTATATTAAAATCAAGTAAAGAAATTAATGCAACAGAAATGAAGGAATAATGGAGGATTTAACAAATCCAGGACTGAATATTGTGAGTTGGAGGTGGGAAGTCTTGAAAAATGAACAAATCTTTATTTGGGAAACAATGGGGAAAGATAAAAACAATATCATAAAGTTGGAGCAGGATGGAAGCATCACTTTTCCTAATGCCTCTCATTATATAAAGCTTTTCTGAGCAGAAAGTCATTGGTAGGTCATTAATGTAGCACATATCTGTGTTCTGCATCCAAGGTATCAGGCACTGGCTGGGAGCCAGGGATAGAATACAATGATGAGCAGAACAAATGAGAAGAGGGTAGAGCATGATGGTGTACCTCTGTAATCCCAGTACTCAGGAGACTGAGGCTGAAAGATTGTGAATTTGAAGCCAGCCCGGGCTATGTTGTGAGAACCTGTCTTAAATTAAAAAAAAAAAAAAAATGAAGAGAGAGACATCAGACTTAAGGGACCATGTCCATTTGCCCTTACACTCTTGGAAAGCTGGATCAGCAGAAGTGAGGGAAATCCAGGGGCAAATCAGAGGTCCTAAACATTCCAAACCTACTTGTATATGTGGGTAGAAACAACCAGAGGGTAGCAGTTGTTTATTACACTCATGTTCAAGAGAAATATGTGGAGCCTGAGAACAGATGAGATGTTAAACTGGACATAACAGCACACACCTATAATTCCAGCAAAAGGGAGGCAGAGGCAAGAGGATCCTGAGTTCAAGGCAAGCATGGATTAATTAATGAAACCCTGTCTTGAAACAAAAGATGAGATGGTAAGATTCATGACAACTTGTCTAAAACAATTAGGCTAAAACTCTTTATAATTTTTTTCTGTTTAAAAGAAGACTTGAGTAAAGATAAAAGCAAAAATTATAAAGATTTTTGAGAACTGTAGCCTTCCATCTTTCCCATTAGAAGTACTTTGTTATTATTTTAGAGTTATATACATTCATGAAAGTTAATTCACTTTCAATAAGAAATCCATTTTACCATTATGTGTCCTATGCTTGCATTTGAAAATCAAAAGCAACTTCCCCAAGATAAAAGTGAATCATTTTCCATCTCTTTTGGATTTAAAATTCCAAAATTAGATTAGTGATGTTATTTTATCCTAAGGTTGGTTAATCTGCCTTGTAAAATAACTGAGGGACTTTTCTGTCAGCCTTCATTTTTCTAGTGTTCTGTTTAAAATGATAGGTAAATGTGTGTATGAGTGTGCGTGTGAGTGTGTGCATAATTGCTTATGTTCTTTCATTACAAAAAAGGTCTTTAAAAATTTTAAGTTTTGTTCTATAAAAAATTAGTATCTTCTTGCATTATTGTTCCCCTTAAATACTAAAGACATCATTAAAGGCTACCAGAATAAATGTCACAGTTGGGTCACTTTTGCATTTAGTGTTTGGCATGGGTAAAAGGAAGCTCTGAGGCCAGGTGGTGGGTTTGAATCCCATCTTTATCATCTCCAATTGTGCATTTTGAACAAACTGTTAAACCTCTGTATACCTCAGTTTCCTCATCTGCAAAATGAAGATAATAAAAGCACATGCTTCATAAAGTTGTGATTTCTATATGTGATAACATATAGAAATTGTTTGGACATTGGCACAAAATTAAGAAATATATGCATGTATATGTACAGATATGTAATTCTTATATATAGTTTACACACACACACAACACACACACACACACACACATGTCTTTGTGGTATTAATTTCAGTCAGTTCCCTGAAGTTAAATGATGACTAAATAGTGACTAATTAAATGGTGGCCCAGTGAACCAATGTTCAAATTAACTAAAGCTTCCAAAGAAGATGGTTCTCGGTACCACATTACTAGTTTATAAGTACATTAGTGCTTCCCCGGACCCCTTGACTGAACAAAACCAACACATCCAAAAGCAGGAAGAGGACAAGAAACTAAATCCTTCCATCATTTCCATCTCTAGATTTAGAACAAAGAATTCTGAGATAAACAAATGGAGGGAATTTGGAATGGTGCACGCACTGCTTCTTTCTGTGACATGAACTGTGGGAGTTACCAAGGACCTGGCTGTCTAATGCTAAGGAGACTTTTCCTCTCAATTCCAAAGAGAAGCAACAGCTCAGGATGCCAGAGTCTAGCAACTCCCCAGAAATTAAATTGTCACAATTTGTCATTCTCTTAATTTTTACAATTATATGCATTGAAAGCATCACTGGTATCATTACAAATGGGTTCATCATGGCTATCAACGCAGTTGAATGGGTTCAGAAAAAGGCAATTTCCACAGTGGAAGGATCCTGCTTTTCCTGAGTGTCTCCAGAATAGGTCTGCAAAGCTTTATGATAGTAGAAATGATAGTGACCACTGTGCTCCCAGTTTTTTATTTCAAAGATGTTTTATATGATACATTCAGAGTAAGCTTCCTGTTCTTAAATTATTGTAGCCTCTGGTTTGCTGCCTGGCTCAGTTTCTTCTACTTCACGAGGGCTGCCAATTTCTCTAACCCCCTTTTCCTCAAGCTGAAGTGGAGTTTTTCTGGATGGATGCCCTGGTTTCTGTGGCTTTCAGTGTTTATTTCCTTCAGCTCCAGCATGCTTTTCTTCAAGAACACCTACACTGTGTATACCAACAATTCCTTTCCTATCTGCAGCCTCAATTCCACAAAGAAAATGTACTTCAGGAAGACCAATGTGATCAATGTGGCTTTTTTCTTCAGCCTAAGGATCCTTGTTCCTTTGATCATGTTGATCGTGGCAGCCACTCTGCTGATCATCTCTCTCAAAAGACACACTTTGCACATGAAAAGCAGTGCCACTGGCTCCAGGGACCCCAGCATGGGGGCTTACATGGGGGCCATTAAAGCAACCAGCTACTTTCTTGTTCTTTACATTTTCAGTGCAATTGCTCTACTTCTCAGTGTGTCTAATGGCTTTGACTTACATGGTTTCTGGAATATTCTATCCTGTATCATCCTGGCTGCCTACCCAGCTAGCCATTCAATTCTAGTGATTCAGGACAACCCTGGGTTAAGGAGAACTTGGAAGCATCTTCAGTCTCAAATTCATCTTTACCCAAGAGAGTAGATTCTGAGCTCAGCACCTAAGCAGGACCACACACCAGTCATCTCTGCCCATTCCTTGCCTTGACCTTTCTCTTCCTTCCTTCTTTCTTCCTGAAACCTGATCTGATCCTTTCACCTGATACAGGATTTTTTTATTGGAAATTTATCTTCATTTCTCTATTTTGCTGCATGGGTACAATCTTAGTGATGTATGACATGTTCTTTACCTTAGCCTTCTATTTCTGCCTCCTATTGTTCTATCTGCAGCAATGATTCTAGACACCAACTACCCATTGGTATCTCTAGATTGACTCTTGAAGCACCAAGGTCCGTGTCCAGCCTAGTATATTGTGATCAATTAAATCAGAATTTCTGGTGTTGGAACTTTGGCTATTTTCTAAGTTCTCCAGATGATTTTTAAGTGCAGTTAAGGGAGATACAGCCACCAAAATAGAAGCTTCTAAAACTGGAGTTCCTGTCAACACACTTCTTTCCCCTCCATAAAAGTGTTAAGGGTACCTGCAGTGTTCAATACTGTTTTTTTTCTACTGCAGGATGCTTGAAATCTCCCCAATATAATTTTTATATAAATGTATCACACTATATTCTAATTTTCTGGCCCTTCTCCCTCTTCAACCCCATAATGTGGAATCATTTCACAATCATAATCTGGATAAACTCAACCAACACCCTGCATTTGCTTGTAAGCAACTGAGCATTGCTTGAGAGTATTTCATACCTGGAGAAACTCATATTCCTACAAGTTCATACTATCATCCTATGTGAGTAACATCACTGAACTTTTCTATTGTCCATTGCCCTTGACAAGTCACTTATTGACTAAAATGACTATCACACATCTTCTCCTCAGTCCTCAAATGCCTGAACTCTTTTCTCCCTGTCTCACTTCCAATTGATAAAGCCCCTAAATTCTTCAACAGAAGTCATTCAAAAGACATTCCTTCACCTTCCTATTAGTAAACTTACTAAACCACCAGTTTTCTTCTACATGTCCAATATTTAATAAGAAATAAAAGACTACCAGTTGATCATGTTTTGGTTTTCTTCTACCGTGATACTTCTTCCTGCAAGTTCCACTTTACTGTGTGTTTTAGTTTCTTTTCTTTCAGAATTGAGCCTGCCCTCAAATATCTGGTAATCCTTGAATATTGGCACTATGAAGATTACTGCAAATTTTAAACATTAACCTTTAAAAATTTTTTGGTTATTAGAGCAGAAATGCCAGATCCATGTTTCTAACTTTTGTCCTACACACTTACCTCATACATTAGTACGTCCTGTATTTCTGTCTTATTTTGTGCACAATTAGAGGCTCATTCATTCATTCATTGAAAAATTACTGGCTGAACAGTGTGTGAGAAACCATAGGGCACACATGCTATTCTGACCATCACAGACCTTCTAGTCTAGCAAGGAAGCCCAGCTAATCAGACACAAGATAAACATGATGCCATGACAGTGAGTTAGATCAACGTAGCCATGAAGGGCTCGAGTGAACAAGAGTTAAAGAGGAAATCATCTTTAAAAATATAAATCTAAGTCAGGAATTTAGAAGAGTCATTACAAATAAATCCAGGAAAGAGATAATTCATGAGACATTGATCTAGTAAAAATGGACAAGGAAAAAATTAAGATGAATACAAGAACTGGTTCATTTAAAAAAGACAATTAAATTAGTATTGTTAGCTTATAATCAGGAAAGACAAAAAGCATAAATATACAAAATATGAAATGAAGGAAAACAAAACACAGATTGGAGGAATTGCAGTACTCTTTTTTTTTCTTTTATTCATATGTGCATACAATGTTTGGGTCATTTCTCTCCCCTTCCCCCTGCCCCCTCCCTTATCTTCCCATTCCCTCCATCTCCCCCCCACCCCCTCGCTACCTGGCAGAAACTATTTTGCCCTTATCTCTAATTTCGTTGAAGAGCGAGTATAAGCAATAATAGGAAGGAACAAGGATTTTTGCTAGTTGAGATAAGGATAGCTATACAGGGAGTTGACTTGCATTGATTTCCTGTGCATGTGTGTTACCTACTAAGTTAATTCTTCTCTTTTGTTCAATTCTATACAAGTGTTTGAAAACCTTGATAAGTAAATGTTTCTAGAGAAGTTTAATTTACAAAAATTGACTCCAAGAGAGGAAGAAAAGCCAAACAGAATAATCATCATCGTTGACCTAGAGGAAGATGTCAAGAGCCACTTGTCAAAGTGTCAGGAGCACATGTTCATAAGGGAATTGTAGGGACTTTTTGACAGTAGAAAATCTCATGGCCATGCAATTTTTTTCACAGCATAAAAGTCAAAGCAAGTTTCCAAATTTGTTTCATTAAGTTAATATAATGAAACACGAGACCCTATCCAAAAAATGACTGGAGTGAAAAAGGTGTGGCTTATGTGGTAGTGAAAGGAAAGCTAGAATGACAGACTTGAGATAGAGATCATCAGAATCTTAGAAGAGCTGTTTCTGAGAATGATGAAAGCAGTGAGCCCCAACCCAGAAATAGCTGCCTTGGAGAGATGGCCCAGAGACAACTGCCCTGGGGAGATAAAGAATCCCAACAAGAAGAATGAAAAGAGCCTCCCCACACAACCCTGGAGGGTATCTGGTTTCCAAACCCCCTGCTCGAGGCACTCCTCAGCTTGCATGCAGACATTTACTTTCTCTTCTTGGCAAATAAACCTTTCTTACTTTCACCTTGCTGGAGTTTTCTATCCTCGATTCTTTGGTGCCATAGAGAACAAGGACATGTATTGACTGAGTACAGCGCACCTGCGCATCAGTAGAGTATCTGCTTACCAAGCATAAAGCCCTGACTCCAATCTCCAACACCACAAAAGAAAAAAGAATAGATGAATTAGTTCTTAACATGACAAACTTTGTCTAATTTTGCTCAGTTCCTTTGTAGCCAGCATCACCCTGAAGAGGAACCATTATTGCCCTCATTAAATGCAAGAAAGAGACAAAAGATGTTAACATTGTCTCCAGATATTATCCAATATAATTAGAACAGGGAAATTTCTTTCATATGCTTACTTTTCTAAAATGGCTTAAGTTTGTTCACTGGGGTTTCTAGCAAGGTAAAGTCTGTTTATTTATATGTGTTTGCTTGTAAATGTAAAATATTGAAGTCTATCTCTCTGGCTAAGACCTTTGTCTTCTATACTCCAAACATTATATTTCTAACTGACTGTAATCATTGGTATGAATCCTAACATATGAATGACAAAAATGACATCTCCCATATCATTGGCTGGACATTTAGCTTAAATTTTTTTTCTTTTATTAAGCACTACAGCAAGGTAATTAACAGTTGAGTTTAAAGACGAGATCTAAAAAACAAAGATCAACTAGAAACAAAGTGCTGAGGAAAGCACTAATAATAAGAATCCTTAGAGAAGAAAAATGAACTGAATTTTAAAGAAATTGAATTAACAACAAAAAAAATTGACAGCAACAAAAAATTATAAAAGTGAAGAATCCATAGTTTATAAGCAAGGAATGGTAAGAAGATTGACAGAGTAGTTAAGTTCAAGTCAAAAGTATAAGTTACTGCCATCTATTCTCTGAGCAAATAATTAGTTTTTTAAATTTAATTCTCTCATTGATAAAACTATAGGAGATAATAATGCAGGTGTCACAACAAAGTTTGGAACAATGATTGAGATAACATACATGATAAATGAATAATACAAGGTGGCCATGTTCCTTGTTGAAAGGAGCCTATCAGTTTTTCATAATATTGCTTGTACTTGTATTGAGTCTACTATTTCACATATGAGAGAAAACATGCAAACATTGGCTTACTGAACCTGGCTAACTTCACTTAAGATGTATTCTCCAGTTCCATCCATTTGCCTGCAAATGACAAAATTTCATTCTTATGACTAAACAATATTCCATTATATATAATTACCACATTTTCTTAATCCAATCATCAGTTATGGGGTATCTTAGCTGCTTCCATAGCTTAGTTATTGTGAATAATGCTGCAATAAACATGGGTATACAAGTGCCTTTATTGTAACCTGACTTATATTCCTTTGGATATATCCTTAAGAGTGGTATTGCTGGATCATATGGCAGATCTAGTTTCAGTTTTTTGAGAAGCCTCCATACTGTTTTCCATAGTGATTATACTAATTTATATTCCCACCAACAGTGTATGATGGTTCCTTTTTCCCCACATCCTCACCAACATTTGTTGTTGTTTGTGTTCTTAATGATAGCCATTCTGACATGAGTGAGGTGGAATTTTAATATGTCACTAAGGGGAGGTCACTAGTGAGAGAGAGAGAAGGTAAAAGAAGAAAGTTAAGAAGGTTAATAAGGTGATGTACTTTCTATATAAGAATGAATATAAAATTTTTAAACCTGTTGAAATTACCATAAGAAGAAGACTAAGGTAGAAAGGAGAAAAATAGAGGGGATGAAGCAATTCCATATATTATATATATGGAAATATATATGGAAACATACATATTGAAACATATATATGTATGGAAATGTCACAATGAAACACCCTGCATTGCTTTTTTAAACAAACAAAAATGTCTTTGTTTCAAAAATGGAGAACCAGAAGGTAAAACAGGTCCTGTCTAGGGGACTTGGTACCAGAAGGACAGGGAGGATATAAGGAAAGAGTGTAGGATTGTGAATATGGTAGAAATATTATGTGCTCATGTACAAAAATGAAAAAATGAGACCTATTGAAACTATTCCAGGAATAGGGGAAGGAAGGATAAAGGTGAATGATAGTGGGTGTGAATTCAACTATGATATATTGTAAGAACTTTTGTAAATGTCACAACAATAGTTAAAAGAGAGAGAGGCAGAGAGAGAGAGAGAGAGAGAGAGAGAGAGAGCCTATTGGGGGTAGTATCACCAAACTCCTAAACTTTATCTATGATACATTCTTCAGATAAAAATTACTCCACTTCTTATTCCTATCTGCAAAGAACAAGTGAAACTCCTTCTGAAATATAACAGAATTATTTT